ATGCGATCGGCTTTTCAGACGACGTTGAAGCTGCGCCAGCCGACCCTCTTTGTTTATTTTGGGCGGCGGCGCTTTGGCGATATTAACTGTGGTAATTGTGGCTTTGGCAAAAGGCGAATTTCCCCCCTTCGGTGGGGAAAGCCGTTGCGACGCTCCCAAATCTCTTGGCGCTGCCAGTTGATGATCTCGCTTGAAGTCGATGGGGTGATTGAAAATTTTTTTATTCCCTGGAGAACGCTGCAAATTGATTTTCGTCAACTTGGCTGTCCTATTTATTTCTCAACCATCTTACCCAAAGGCTTTGCTCTACCAGCGGACTGGTTGTTCAAGTGGAGCTCAAGATCCGTCGATTTTGATATTAAAAGATCACTAAAACAAAGAGAACAACTTTTAACTAACTTAACCCGGCGGACAATTCTCCGCTTACCGCACTTGCACTGCCACTACTTATTCGATTTTGTGAGGCTTGGGCCCGCGGTGCGCAGCTTTTATAGGGACGCCGCCTCACATTAGAGGGAGAAAGCCTATCTTTCCTTTCACTCCTTTTAGACCAAGCCTACCCACACTTTGACCCTAGATTCTCGCGATCTCCACAAGAGAGGGAGGGCGCTCAGCAAATTCCCGCGCTTGTTGGCTATGTTGCTAAACGTAGGCAAAATGTTGCTAAGCTTAGGAACATGCCTCGGGAACATTTATCTCCGCAACATTAACCGTATCTGCACAAGCGACCATTACAAAGTTCCTTCAAAATGTCAGTTGCCTTGGTCCGACCACACTTTACGCCCTTCGCAATTTTTGAATCTGGACAACAGACCCGCAGCAAGTCCGGCAAGTAGTCCATCAGCAAAAATGGGAGGTTATGCATTACCAAAAACATAACAAGTGCGTACTCGGCATCGCGCACCTGCTTATAATTATTGTCACTACGTTCCTTTGTAAATGTGTCGATTTTCAGTTGGCTTTCCTTTATTTTTAAGCAACGTTTATGTGAAGCCTGGGTCGAATGTCTTTGGATGTGGGTCAGGTGATTCCGTAAAATTATACCACATGCAATACAAGTCGCACGCCCATCGTCGTTCTTCAGCCAGGAAAATTTGTCCAGCCATTCAGTACGCACTTTGCGATTTTCCGAAACAGAAATTCTAAGACGAAGAAATGTTAAACATTTAGCTAATTCTAAAAATAACACTTTTACTCTTACTTTTTGTTTGCGGGATGTGAATCGCTTGAAGTCTCAGTACTCGTTTGCGGCGTGGGCGCAGCTTTATTTAAACTGCTTAAAGTTAAAACAAACCGGCATTTAGGTAAATAAATTAGCTATATTGCATTTGAGATACACAAATGTACATGATTTCTTTACTTACTTGTCCATTTTGCACAAATTATTTTCGCACACTTTAAGACACCACAATCACCGCCAAATTTAGAAGCACATGTGAATGTTACCATATTGGCTCAAAAGAGCCAAATGTGGCAACCGTGGGCTTAGTTCAGATTAAAAGTATATTCAATAAGTTAAATAGGCTTTTAGATTTAATTTTTATTAGCCCGGATTTAGGAACAGATTTAAGTTGTAGCAATATTCGACTCTCAGAGTGTGATGCCCATCATCAGCCTTTATTACTATTAATAACATGTCATATTTATTTAGCTAATAAATCACTCACACCTTTAATGAATATAAGTGCTAATAGTTTAAATTCTATTCGACATGATATTTCTAATATTAATTGGGTCGATAGCCTTTCGCATGCTAATGTTGAGGCTAGCTATGACCTGTGCTTTCTCTTATTATTAGTAGGTATGCTAAAAAAAGAGTTCAAAGTTCTTATAAACTACCCTGGTATACGCGGGGACTCAAAAAATACAAAAATCTCTGTAATAAGTTTTACAAGCGTTACCTCGAGAGCGGTTACCCTGCCGATCTTGAAAGATACTAGCTGCACAAGCGTGAATTCGAATTCTTAAACAAAATTTCTTTATAGCCAATATATGTCAGATGTTGAAAGTAAATTACGTATGAATCCCAAATCATTCTGCACTTTGTAAACTCAAAAAGAAGAACATCGAACATTCCTTCCCACATGTCTCTTAATAGTGAAATGACTTCCTCGGACTTGGAGGTTGCTAACATGTTTGCTAAATTTTTTTCATCCAATTTCGAGCCAACTTCGTCTTGGAATGATGATGAAACTCTTATTTCCATCGACTCTCTATTAAATATAGGAAATCTAAATGTGTCCGACTTTGACTGCCTTATTTCTGCTGCGAGCTTAAATGACTCAGAACGTATGGATTGCGATGGCCTTTCTCCCTTTATTTTAAAAAATTGTATTGATGTTCTATGTGACCCCCTCACAAATAATTTTTAACAAGTCCCTCTCCAGTGGTATGTTCATTCATAGATGGAAGTTAGCTACAGTGACCCCAATTCTCAAATCAGGTGTAAAAAGTTCCATATCTAATTACAGACCAATTGCCAAGCTGAGTAATATTTCAAAAATGTTTGAGCGCATTGTGGCTAGGCAGCAAAACTTTCTTGTGGGCCGCTCTATTACCCCTAACCAGCAAGGTCTTATGCCAGGACGATCGACTACCTCTAATTTAGCAACCTTCAATCACTTCTGCATAAATTCTTTTGTGAATCATCACCAAGTAGATGTAGTCTATACCGACTTTGCCAAAGCCTTTGATAAAGTCTGTCATACTGCTTTATTAGCTAAGCTTCAATGGGATTCCACTCTGAAATCTTAGACTGGATTAGGTCCTACCTAACCAATAGAGAATACAAAGTGGAAAATAATGGGGTTTTTTCGAACCCGTATGTGGCAACGCCTGGCCTCCCTCAAGGAAGTGCTTTAGGGCCCTTTCTATTCATTTTATTTATAAATGATATAAGTAACTCCATACATGATTCTGACTTTCTATTATTTGCAGATGACCTCAAATTATTCAAGTCCTTTATATCAAATAAAAACACCTCTTAACGAGGTAAAAAACTAGTGACGATCGCGCCTTCAACATACAAAAGTTCTGATATCAACATTTGTGACGAAAAATTATTACACTCGTCATTAAATAGACTTTCTAATCTTTTCTCATTCGGCCCGCCCTAGCAAACTATTCCAGCCTTTTTCCCTTTACAGGCATTTTCTATTGCAGCGTGACGAATGAGAAAAGATTAGAAAGTCTATTTAATGACGAGTGTAATAATTTTTCGTCACAAATGTTGATATCAGAACTTTTGTATGTTGAAGGCGCGATCGTCACTAGTTTTTTACCTCGTTAAGAGGTGCCTTTATTTGATATCAGAAGTTTTTGTTTGTTTACTTTTGCTCTCATAGGTGCTAATATAAACATTTAAATTTAAATTGGTCATAAATCATAATTTTTAAACTATTGTATTTTAACGAATTAAGTCAAAAAGGCTTTGAAGAATTTCAAAATACCTTTTAAACGAGGTATAGCACATGTCTGTACCTTTAGTAGTGTTGAACTTACAAACTAACGAAATGTAGCTATTTTTAGCTTTTTCCCGCTAAAGTAGCGGCTTTTTCCAAAAGTCGTAGAACAAAAGATTGCTATATGGAACTTGTTCAGTCGCAGCAATAGTTATAAGTCAGCGCTCTGAAGTATCATATATCGGGTCAAGCCATCAGCAACATTATCAATGACCCACTTATTGGCACAAGCTTATTCTGCTGAATTGTAACTATCCGGGTCGCATAATGCATAAAAACCGACACTTTGCTTTATACCTATTCTGTTAACCTATGCACTTTTTACCTATAAATACCGTTAAGTTTATACAATAAAATCAGTAACAATTTTGACTCCTACAATCAAGTTTTACTCATTTTGCATTCAACAGAGGCTGTCGCTCTAGTCTTCAGATCCTCATATCCAATCCTTAGTCCAACTGGTTCAAGTTCTAGTTGCGACGACTTTAGGCAGACAGTTTATGTACTGTATGCAAGGCACCTAAGCCAATCAATAAACATTTTGGTGACCCCGACGTGATCTCACCAAGAGATCACACCATAGAACACAACGTTGGAGATATCTTCCATACAAGTCCTTTTGCCCAAGTCGTCAACAAGGCGACAGATTAAGGACACCTGAGCAAAGTCGACTCAGGAAGTTGGAAGACTGGTCAACAAGGCGACCAGCTCCGTCAACGATTTGATAAAATCGTTTTTTGTGATCCCGGTAAACGGATTTAGATCATCCAATCCCGGACACATTTTCGAAGTTGTCAACAGGCGACACTTTGAAACCAGAATCAAACATTCTCAGAATACGAGAACTCAGCACCACAGTTGCTGTCATCAAATTCACTCAAATCATTCATAAGTGTTAAAAGCTTCTTAGACCATTTCGGTTGCGAATAGGAGCGTATCCAGCTATACAAGCAAATAAAACCCTCCCAACGGGTCAGAAGTTTTTAACACAAGGTAATAAATATGAGTGACATGGAGGAACAAGCCGTCAAAGAAACACTTGACGTGCAAGAGGAGATCAGTCAAGAAATCTCCAAATTTATCATCAACTTCAAGAAAGATTCATCGGAGAGGAAATCAAGTCCGAACTATTATGAAAATAGACTAATGCGGTTATTCCACTACATTGGTCGGCTCATTCATTAGAACAATTTTTTTCAGCCTTTACAATTTTTTACGGGGGGGCGAGCAAGACAGATATATGTCAGCTGCAATGAGCAATTAATGAGCAAAATTTTAAAAACCGAAGGCCACCATTTTATTTTTTTTTGTATGAGCAAAATTGAATCTAAAAAGTACAATTTTGCTCATTTATTAGAGCTACTGTAAATCGGATCTTGCTCGCACCTACGTAAAATCGTATGGGCTGAGAAAAAATTGTACTAATGAATGATCCGAACGATGTAGTGGAATAACCGCATAACCATTCTCGATGACACTTGGAATCGATTCACAACGAATGATCTCAAGATTCCTCAAAAGTATAGAACTACGTTATACATGAAGTTCTATAACGACTGTCGTGAGTCATACGACAAATATCGAGCTATCATACGGGACGGCATGGAACAATCTACAAGCCAAGCCGAGGTAATTCCAGACCCAACTGGTAACCCTGCAAGCATTCAGCATCCCACGATAGGGTTCCAGAAACTAATATCTGCATGTCGTCGACAAAAGGCAATATTAGATTCTATTAGGCGCACTCTGAAAGAGTATTCAGGTACGGGAAAGAGCGTAACAAGTGATTTGATAAAATCACTATGGGCGCAAACGCAAGAGATCCATTTCTCGGTACATGAAGAATACGATGATCCAAGCAAAGGAGGATATGACATGAAATCCTTCCTGAAACTTGAAAAGGAAATTCAAGATATCTTAGGAGCAAAATCAAACTCCTCTAGCAATGAAGATATGCATTTGCCCAGAGTCAGCATCCCCAAACTCGATGGGGATCTACTCAAATGGACTCAGTTTTTTGACTTATTTAAATGCATGGTCCATGATACTAACATGCCGACGGTACGGAAAATGTGGTACCTAAAAACCACCGTAACTGGAGAGGCTGAAAGATTGATAAGACATATCGATCTTAAGGAAGAAAATTATCTCAGCGCCTGGGGTATATTAGTCGATTCCTACAACAATCCCCGACATGTGGCAGACACGATTCTCAATCGTTTCCTGCATCAAAACACAGTTAGTGACGATCCAAGGTCATTAAAAGAGTTGTACATTACAACTATCGAGTCTCTAGCATCATTAAAGGGACTGGGCATCGATGTATCAAGTTGGGATACAATATTGATTGCCATAATCAAGCAAAAATTGGATCTTGCAAGCAGAGCCCTATACGAGCAGTCGTTAGATGGGTCCCGAGAGTTACAGGGTCTCGACACACTGCTCAGCTTTCTGGACCAGCGCATCCGAGTTCTTGGAACAGGAAAAAAGGGACAACAATCAAGAAAGGAACAGAAGGGTACTACATGCTCATCAGCCAGTACTGGAAAAGGACCATGCTGTCAGTTTTGCAAAAGGAATCACTGGCTCTATAAATGCGATGACTTCCGCAGCAAAACAATACCCGAACGAGTTAATTGGTTACAAAAACAAAGACTGTGTGTCAACTGCTTCAGCAATGACCATAAGGCAAAGGATTGCCGTGGTCGCCCGTGTTTTAAGTGCGACAAGAAACATCATACTTTGTTGCATCTGGAAAACACATCAGGTGCATCATCCAATCAACATTCACCTACCGTAGGTGCAGCAAGCAACAAGAATTATAACTTGCTGGCCACAGTCAAAGTATCAGTGAAGGCTAGCAATGGTCAAGTTGCTACCTTCAGAGCGCTGCTAGATTCAGGATCACAAATAAATCTGATTTCCGAACGAATGGCTTCAGTACTATCACTGAAACTTCATGGAACTTCTCTACGGATCGAGGGCATTGGAGGCAATCCAAAAACCAGTAGAGCAAGAGCAAACGTTCAAATAAAATCAATGCATAACGCCTTCACACAAGAAGTTGAAGCCTTTGTCCTACCACACATAATAGCTGATCAACCGGCGCATCAGTTAAATTCGGCAAGCCTACAAATCCCAAGCAACATAGCTCTAGCCGATCCAAATTTCGATAAGCCAGGAGTAAAGGCAAAAATATTTATGCAAACGCTTTGGGCGCTGAACCTGAGTTGGGACGATGAGCTCCCTCAAGAACTACAAAATGATTGGAAGAACTATCGATCGGATCTCCAAGCATTAAACAGTATGCAAATTCCTAGGCACATCTATAATGGAAAGGTTCCAGTCCATCAAGAAGTACACACATTTGTGGATGCATCAGAGCGTGCGTACGGAGCAGCAGTGTATATAAGAGCTCCCTACAAAAACAATCAAATTTCGGTACGACTTCTTTGCTCCAAGTCACGAGTGGCTCCATCCGCGAAAGAAACTTTGCCTCGCCTTGAACTATGTCCTGCGCTGTTGGGCGCGGAACTAACACACAGAGTAAGAAAGGATTTGCGATTACCGATCGAGAAGGCTTCTGGATACTTCTGGACTGACTCAACTGTAGCTTTGTCCTGGATAAACGCATCGTCGGCCGCATACCACACGTTCGTCTCGAATCGGATAGCAAAAATCCAAGCTGTCTCAGATCCATCTCAATGGCGACACGTGTCCTCGGCAAACAATCCAGCAGATGTGCTATTAAGAGGAATTGAAGCCAGCAAATTATCAGAACATACCCTCTGGCTGTATGGACCACTTTTTTTACACGGTTCAAGTGACAAATGGGTCAAGAGGCCCATAATCGGTCTAAGTGATCTTGAACGGCGAACAAAACAAGTGAGTCTTCCAGCATGTCAGGGTCAGACAGGGGAAGAACTCTATAATTGCAAGCATAGCAATAGTTTTCGAAAGCTACAGAGAATTGTGGCATATATGATGCGTTTCTGTTACAAAAGAAACAGATCAAGTACAACCACCCTATGCATCGGTGAACTAACTCACGCTCGTACTATCATACTGCGCACCATTCAGAAAATTGACTTCGCATGTGAGTACAAGCAACTTGTTGCCCACAAGGCCGTGGACAAAAAGAGCGCTCTCGTCTCTCTATTCCCCATGACCGGCAAGGATAGCCTCATCAGAGTCGGAGGGAGATTAGAAGAATCTAAACTCACGTATAACGCAAAGCATCAAATCTTGCTTCCTTACAATGATCCAATAGTAAGAATGCTGTTGCGAGAAATGCATGAAGAGAACATGCATTGCGGTGCTCAGGCGTTAAGAGCCATTGCCAGACAGCAATATTGGATTATCAATGATAAAACAATGGCGAGGAGCATTATACATTGTTGTGTCAAGTGTACAAAGGCACGGCCCAAACTAATGCAACAAATCATGGGCAATCTGCCAGTCGACCGAGTAACACAAGCTCGACCATTCTTTAATTCTGGTGTTGATTACTGCGAGCCAATTTGTATTCACCATAAACTCCGTGGAAAGAGACCAGACAAGGCGTATATTGCAGTTTTCTGCTGTTTTGCTACGAAGGCAGTACATCTAGAGTTGGTAAGCGACCTAACAACAGATGCATTCTTAGGTGCTCTTCGACGGTTCTTGAGTCGACGTGGAAGGTGTCAGACCATCCACTGCGATAATGCAACCAACTTCGTCGGCGCCAACAATAAACTAAAGGCCTTAGAAGAAGCGATCTTCACGGATAAGGCACAAGCCCAGATCATCCACCATTGCAATCAGAGACAGGTGGATTTTAAGTTCATACCGCCCCGAGCTCCATCGTTCGGCGGGCTGTGGGAGGCTGCAGTAAAATCTGCGAAACGGTTACTAGTATCAGTCACAGCCACCGCATCATTGACGTTTGAGGAGCTTAACACTGTAATAGTGGAAGTCGAAGCAATTCTTAATTCTCGACCTATTACACCCATGTCGTTTGATCCTACGGATGCGTCTGCATTAACCCCAGGTCATTTTCTGATTGGTGAGCCTCTAACGGCCCCACCCGATGTAAATCTCTCCCCAACCAACAAAACATTGGTAAAAAGATGGGAATTAGTGTCCAGACTTAAGCACGCATTCTGGAAGCAGTGGTCAATGGAATACCTTCAAGAGCTTCAAACGCGCAACAAATGGAAGACCATGTCGCAGAACGTCAAAGAAGGGCTACTTGTATTAATAAAAGAAGATAGGTTAGGTTAGGTTAGGTTAGAAACGGCTGCCAGACTAACGTCTGACACACTTAGACCTCTGTGGGTCCATTGTGATACCGTGTGATCTCTTTCCCTTATTTGGGGTCCCCTGTCTATTTTTTAATTTTCCTCTCGTCCTAGAAAATTTGGATACTTAGCATGTCTTCCACCCGGAAGATTTAACGAAAGAGTTTATACTTTTAAGGTTGATCTCCGATATTTCGGTTAGATCGCTAATGAAGGGGTTTCCTAGATGTTTCAGCCTTAGTCTGCATAGGGCTGGGCAGAAACATAGGAGGTGCTCCACCGTTTCTTCCTCTTCCTCGTCTCTGCAAAGAAGATAACCTGCCGGTGATGAGTTGGCCGATGGGAAAAATAGTAAAGACATATCCTGGCAAGGATAATTACGTACGTGTAGTAGACGTAAAAATTGGTTCTCGCGTAGTTCAGCGACCAATCACACGGCTTGCCCCGCTTCTTAGGGAAGAAGTATCGACAAAGCGGTCTAACATTTCCATCGAAGGAGCAATAGTTTCAGAAGGGATCCCAAAAAGGAAGAAATTGGACAGCCAACCTGCACCAACCAAGAGAACGACGAGCAGCCATCACCTGAACCTACCCCACGAAGTTTGCGTTCAGCATTAGCGATGGTTGAACACTTGTTCAACGGCCGGGAGAATGTTCAGTCGCAGCAATAGTTATAAGTCAGCGCTCTGAAGTATCATATATCGGGTCAAGCCATCAGCAACATTATCAATGACCCACTTATTGGCACAAGCTTATTCTGCTGAATTGTAACTATCCGGGTCGCAAAAGGCATAATAACCGACACTTTGCTTTATACCTATTCTGTTAACCTATGCACTTTTTACCTATAAATACCGTTAAGTTTATACAATAAAATCAGTAACAATTTTGACTCCTACAATCAAGTTTTACTCATTTTGCATTCAACAGAGGCTGTCGCTCTAGTCTTCAGATCCTCATATGCAATCCTTAGTCCAACTGGTTCAAGTTCTAGTTGCGACGACTTTAGGCAGACAGTTTATGTACTGTATGCCAGGCACCTAAGCCAATCAATAAACAGAACTCTTAAGTGCAAATTTACTGATTCCATGACTCTAAAATACAGTTCGGATACCCTCACACAAAATTCAATACTCAGGGAGCGTTAGTAGTTCGAGCTGGAAAAAAAGGCTATTTTCGTATAAAAATAACTTTTAAACGTGACTTTTTACAGTAATGTGTTATATACCAAAATTTAAGGAATCTCAAGGGCTATACAGTTTAAAGTTGTAAGGAAAATCGTAAGAGCCGTTTTTGAAAAGATTAAAAAAGAGCTAAAAAGAAAGTTAAAAAAAAATTTCTTTTGTTCATATCTTTTTAACTATTACATTTACACAAATTGCATATAGGGGGCGTTTATAGCGTTTAAAAATACCAAACGAGATGCAGCACAAGTCTGTAGCTTTAGTAGTATAGAAGTTACGGCTTTCCGAATTTTAGCTATTTATAGCTGTTTTCCCGCTAAACTAGCGAGTTTTTCCAAAAGTGGTAGAACAAAAGTTTTTTATATCGATGTGATGAACGTCATATCAAATTTTCAGAACTTAAAAAACATGTTTTGGACAAACTGACAAACAGAATTAAATTTTCATTTTGGGGAGACGAAGAAAATCTTATTTTGGCTATAACTTTTGAACAGAGCGTCGGATTTTGACAAATGACCCCTCATTCGACGGGTATTTTCAAAAGAAATACAACTAAAACATTGCGAGGGGGCATTTATTCCCACCGGCCCCAACAGCTCCAAATTTCGAAATTTTCACTTTCACCGCTCTCTCTACCAAGCCAATTGATTTTCTTAAAGTCTTGGTATGCAATCCTGTTAGTTTTCGCAATACTTTTCGATAGATGTATCATTCAATATGATCGGACCATCACAGTAGATTTTCATTTCTTCGTGTATATATAGTAGTCGCCTTCGCACACTCTCTTGGTGCCCTTCGTCACTATATGGACTGCCGTCCATAGTGATTAATTTCAGACTGTTTACTCCTCCAGAATGACTTAAATAGATTAGGTAATTGGTGCTCCCGAAATATGCTTCCTTTAAATTTTTCAAAATGCTTTTTAGTAAGATACAGCAAGCGTATAAATAATCTCCTTGCCACAAAAAACGAGTGCCTGGATTTAGGAATTGTTTTTGATTCGAAATTTCTCTTCGTTGAACATATTTGAAATGGAGTGGGGCGGGTCTTCCAAACTTCGGGTTGGTGGTCGTAGATCAGGAAATACACGGCCGCAATGGGTTTTTAAACGTTATAAATTCCACGATTTATTTCAGAAAAAAAGACTTCACTGGTCGACTTTTCGGTTACACTTGAAAATTAGAACTAACTTAAAACTACAGAGTGGAAGCTCCAAGAGCCGCTTGGAGAGCGGAGTGGAGACACTTAACAGTGCGAGAGAGCGAGATGCGAGCGATCTGGAAGAACTGCTGTCTCGACTGTCAAGGCTCCAGGGGCGCTTGAAGGGAAAATTGGCCGGGACTGGGGGCGCCGCTTTGGCGCGAACATTCTCCCCCCCCTTGCGAGGGCGAACGTAGCAAAGGATTAATCCTTAGGCGTGTCTGCATGCTCCAGACACGACCCATCCAAAGACCGTGCCCTGTGCGACGGGCAGCCCATCTCGTATATTTAGGAACCCGGGCCTGATTACGTGATTACCCGAGCCCAACACCAGCGAGACTGTCGCTGGGCGATGGAACTGCTCATCGGCCAGACGGATATCATCAAATTGGGCTCGCATAGAATCGCTTAGCGCGCGGATAGGGGTGCGGATTCGTAGACTCTGACTGATCTTCAGCAGCACGTCGATCTGGAAATCGCCCGTCCTCGACCGGATTCTCGTCGAGCAGACTTCTTCGCCTCTCACTGTCGTCGTGGGCAACTTGAACGCAGTTGCCAGGGAGCTGTCGATGGTGCTGACGGGCGTGCAAGGGTCGATTAACGCAGCCGTCTCGAAGGTGGTGGCCCCAGACTCCAGCAACACGATGGCCGTCGGAAGAATGTGGAGGCTCTGATGCTGCAGGAGAGCCGCCACTGATGGAGTTGCTGCTGACGCTGGACGTCGGACCGGTGTCCGTGCTTCCCGTGCCGCTGGCGATGGAGACCGCGAGACTGCCCTTGACAGCCGAGTGGTCGATCCGCGATGTTGCGAGGACGGCGATTGGCGACGTGGCGGGGATGGCGATTGACGACGCTGCTGGATGGGCGGTTGCCGAGTAGTCCCGGACATCTCGTGCAGGTGCAGCAGCGTGTGATGGTTCTGCCCGCACTTTTTGCACGTGTCGCCACTGCGACATTGCCCCCCTGAGTGTTGATGGGCCAGGCAATTCGCACAATATTTATTTATGAGGACGGCACGGAGCCGCTTCTCCGTGCTGAGCCTAAGGAAGCGGGTGCACTTCCGTAGAGGATGGATTCCCCGACAGACTCGGCAGCGGTAGGATCGAGTACCTCGTGAACGTCTGTCGTCCAAAGTTTGGGCGCTGCGAGGACGTGGAGCCATGGTTTTGATGCTTTAATAAAAAATGATAAGCAAATTTAGTATCAATTTGTGAACGGATTTTGAAAAATAAGGACAGAAGGCACTATTTTTGGAAAGCGGAGGTTGCCTTGGCCTCCATAGGAAGAAGTACTAGAATGAGGACAGAAGTTATTATTGCGGAAGTGCGGAGATTGCCTTGTCCTCCATAGGAAGAAGTACTAGTTTGTGGACCGGACGTTGGATGGTTCCACGAGAAGTAAGAATATCTACGACGCGTACTCTAGTATCAGCTCCTGGGATAGCAGCTACGATCCTGCCGAGCCGCCAGTCATTTGATGGCAAATTATCGTCCTTGATGACTACCATATCGTCGACTTGCAGATTTCTGGATGGACTCAACCACTTGTTGCGCTTGTGGAGTTCCTTTAGATACTCTTCTTTCCATCGCGAACTAAATTGTTGATGCTGCCAGCAAGTCTGTCGGGTCCTCTGACATTGGAGAGAGTGGTCTGGAATTAAGGCAGGCTTCAATCTTTGCCAGAAGCGTGGAAAGCTCTTCGAATGTATACTTGCGAGCGGACGTGGATTTGTAAAACAGCGTTTTAAAACTCTTTACTCCTGCCTCCCACAGGCCTCCCATATGGGGAGCTCCTGGGGGTATGAAACGCCACACGAGTCCCTGATGGCTATACGCATCGGTCACTGACTCCTTTAGTGCTTGCGTAAAGTCACGGGAAATAAGACTTGAGGCGCCAACAAAGGTTTTGCCGTTGTCGGAATGGACCCGCTGAGGACAACCTCTTCTAGCTACAAAACGCGCAAACGCTGCTAGAAACTTCTCAGTTGTAAGGTCGGAGGTGGGTTCCAAATGGATGGCCTTTGTAGAAAAGCACACAAACACACAAACATATCCCTTAGTGATGAGACAAGCTCTCCCTGTATAGTTTTTTACCTCAAAGGGGCCGGCGTAATCGACGCCGGTGTAAGTAAATGGCCTGGCCAAATTAGCAATTGGGCTTGATGCGGGTATGGATCTTTTGCTTCGTAACAATCGAAGCTCGAGCGCGTAATCTTCACGCTGGGCAAGTATTATGTAGGTCCTCTCAGCCTCCCGGATCTCCCGATTACTGAGCTGCTTATCCGGACTTACCGGAGCCTTACGACAGCGATTTAGGAACCTTTGGACGTAAGCTAGGACTCGTAAAGCCTTGTCTAGTCTGGAAAAACGGTCAAGGAAATCATCAGCGGGGAGCTTTACGAAATGAACCTTCACCGCGCGCTGCTCTAATTCCGTGACTGGGTGTGGATCCGAAGTTTCTGGCCATTGAAGTTTGGGCAATTGTAACCACTGGGGCCCATGCCACCAGAGGTTGCTATCGCCCAGCTCTTGCAGGGACACGCCGCGACTAGCTAGGTCGGCAGAATTGTGTTCTGACCGCACATGTGACCAATTCTCAATCTTTGTAGCTTGAGCTATTTTGGTTACGCGGTTGGCTACGAATGTGGTCCAGGAGCAGGCTGGTTTCTTTAACCATGCCAGGACAATGGTAGAATCTGTCCAGCAGAAAATCTCAGAGCTTTTTGACAGCATATTTGGAAGGATGGTAGATGCCATATCTGCCAGCAATAGGGCACCACATAGCTCGAGTCGGGGGAGAGATACAGTTTTCACAGGGGCAACCCGGGTCTTTGCCGTTAGCAGATTAGTCAATATCTGCTGACCGACTTCAACCCTGACATACAGCGCCGCCCCATAGGCTTTTTGGGAAGCGTCACAGAACCCGTGAAGCTCGATTTTTACCTGGGGCTGGTAACCGACCCATCTCGGAATACGGATTTGATCGAGATCGGAATAACTTTGCAGGAACACTTGCCATCTATGGCTCATTTCGTCGGGAAGGTTGTCATCCCAGCCTAACTCTTGCAGCCAGATCTCCTGCATAAAAATTTTGGCCCGGACGATGAACGGTGCAAGCCATCCAGCGGGATCGAATAGCTTTGCGATCTGGGAGAGAACTTCTCTTTTAGTATAGGAGGACTTGACGGATATTTCTGGGGGCACGAAGTAGAACTCGTCGGTGGTTGCTCTCCAACGAATGCCGAGGGTTTTGGCTGTGCTTTCGGCATCAATATTTAGGAACTCAGA